TATATATATATATATATATATATATATATATATATATATATATGTGTGTGTATATATATATATATATATGTTATATAACGCTGATTTAACCATATAATAACGCTGATTTACCATTAACTTTTTACCATTATACAATAATAACATTAAACAGTTGGTAAAAATTTTTTAGCATGCACCAAAAGTAGGTTTTTGTTGTTTTTGTATTGTTTTCCGTTTGCGAGTAAGTATAAAAAACTTTCCAGGTCCGCACTTTAAACAATTTTCACAACCTACTTTTGGTGCATGCTAAAAATCGCTAACCATTTGAAAGCTTCTACTAAAAGCCACTTTTACTTCAAATTTGTTTGCAACTTTTAAACCAAAAAATGACTCGCAGTACAATTAGAAAACGTAAATACAAGTTTAAAGAAAATCAGTACACATGCAATGATAAACAAAAAAATAGTTTACCTTCATCGCCAATTGCAAGTTGTTCAAGTGCAAAAAAGTTATTTTCGAAAACGAAAACAACTCAAAATATTGAGTGTAACAATGAAGATTACAAGAACAATTATAACTTTATTATGAACTTTTCTATATTAAAAAGAATATTTAGTAAGTATATTTTTTGTCCTGAATGTGGAAATAAAATTACTTTGCATGATAACATTGTGAAAAAATGGGATTTTGTTTACAACTTGAAATTTTTTGTGAAAGCTGTGATAAAATTATAGACACATTTAAAACTTCAGCAATAATTAAAAGATGAATTTTAAAGAAATTAAAATTAAAAGAATAATTAAAAGAAGTTAATACACAAGTTGTTGTTGCTTTTAGAGAAATTGGATAGTATCATTTAATCGTTGCATGAATATGCCAAGACCGATGACAAAAAAAAACTATGGTAAAATAACAAAATTACTTCACAGTGCTTATGTCGAAGCAGCTAATACTTCTATGTCAAATGCTGAAAAAGAGACACATGATATTGTTTTGATGGATATCATCAGTGATAATACAAGTATTGTTGATTGCCATGTTTCTGTTGATGGAACATAGCAAAAAAGAGGTCACACATCCATAAATGGTGTTGTTACTTTGATATCAACAAATAATCAAAAATGTGATAAAGCTATAAATACTTTGCAGAATTATTATGGTACTGCCATAAGGCAAATTCTTAACAGCATTTATGGAATGAAAAAGGGTTTTTGGGCAACACTTTTCCATAACTCAGATATTCTTGGTGAAACTGGACGACATAAATTTTGTCCTCGAAATGTAAATAGCTGGTGCATGTGGCAGTCAAATAAACTAACAGGTAAATCAACTTACAAAGCTAAATTAAATATTCCATTAGCAATAAATGAAATTTTAAAACCCATCTTTCAAGACTTGAGTAGAGATGAATTATTATCTAAATGTTTGCATGGACAGACACAAAATAATAATGAAGCAATTAACAATTTCATTTTAAAAAAATGTCCTAAAGATGTTTGTGTAAGTCGAAATATTCTTGAAATAGCTGTAGCATCTGCTGTTTTAGAGTTTAATGATGGAGCTAGTGGGATATATGAAGTTTTTCAAAAACTACAGATAAAGACCGGTCGATTTATGGACATAGCAGGGGCGGATCTAGCATTTTAAATGGGTGATGCGAAATTTTTTTATTGACGTCTTCTCCCCCCCCCCCTCCGCAACTTCTCTATTTGCCTATGTTATAATGTTGCCTTGGCTATTTTGTTCATAAATTAGACATGTAATTTTAAGTCTAATTTACTTAACAAAGTGCACCAACAAGAAGGTAAGCCATAGGACTTTGCACTTCATCTGTATACTGTCATTTTGCTCAAGGTTAGCCCTCCATTTCTGGATTCTTTCCTTTACTTGAGAGGCACGTAGTGTAAAGTAATGTTGCCTAAGGTTGGGCCTCCACTTCGGGATTCTTTCCTTTTCTTGAAGGTTAAGTAATATTAGGTTAAGTAACTAGAAATATAATAATAAAGGTTAGTCCTCCATTTTTGGATTTTGTCTTTATTTTATTTTATATTATTAATCTTATATTATATTATATTATTAATCTTGCCTAAGGTTAGCCCTCCATATCTTGATTCTTTTTTTTTATTATTTTAAACTGTTTTTTGTTATAATAATTTTTGTTATATTTTTAAATATATATATATATATATATATATATATATATATATATATATATATATATATATATATATATATATATATATATATATGTATATATATACATATGTATATATATATACATATATATACATATGTATATATATATACATATATATACATACATATATACATATACATATATATACATATATATACACACACACACGCGCACATACACACACACACAATATTAGTAAAAATCAAATTAGAAAAAAGTAAAATAAAAGTTAGTACACTACTAAATAAAAGCTAAGTCTAAACGTCTTTCACCTGACTTTGAAAAAATGTCAATTTAGTTAAGAGTTATAGGCGACAAAAAATGTCGCCGATAACTCTTAACTAAAGAATTAAAGCGAGACTCAATCATATTACTTCTGGAGTATGTTTTTAGCCTACGTATAACTGAAATACTTCTTTCACATTCACAAGTTGTTATTGGAATTGTTCCTAAAATTATAAATGCTGTCCTTATATTTGGAAAACCTCTCATGTCAATGGACTTTAAAGTACCAGCAACAGTTGAAAGAATACTTGACTGGTTTATGTAAAATAATTCCCGTAAATATAACTCAGCATGTATTGAAGTAAAATGAGGCATATCAGATGAATAGAAATTTAAAAATTCATAAAAATCAGATTTCCATGGTTTTTTAACTTGTATTCTGGATAGTACAGTTGAAGGAACTGCTGCTAGACCTTTATAAACAAACATGCCATTTTCTGGAAACCTATTATCTAGCTCATTAATAAGATGTTCAACTAACGAAGAAGCAATGCTATGTTTAAAATAGTCACAAACTGTATTTGTTGGATAATTATCCCGGTAAACCTGGACATTACACAATCTAGGTCTCACTTCTTGTATATCAAGAGTTTTGGCCAAACTAAGAGCGATAGCGTACCATTCAGTGTGATATATATCAATTTTATTTTTCATTTCTAATAACAGATTTTTTAGATTAGTTATTTCAAAATACTGCTGGGATATGTCAAAAGATTTAGTTTGAAGAGTTACAGTAATTGCATAAAAAAATCCATTAATTGTTTTGTAATAACTAAACTTACAATGAAAGAGAAATCTGTTAATAATCTTAAAAAAGAAGAGGATTTAGAAGCAGTTTCACTGTTATATTCCTTTGACTCTTTTAACCCCATCTCCTCTAAAGCATGAATAATAGGTATAAAATTATCAAAAAAAACATCAACACCTCTCAGCTTTTGAACCCATCTTGTTCGACAAGTATCTATTATTTTTTCATGATTTGGACTTAAATGTTTTTTGAGACAGTTACTACGTTTAGGAGATAAGTTAAAAAAATAAGAAACTTCTTTTACTTGGCCAAGAAGATTTTTTACTTTTGGAACTTGGCATGCAGCTGCTACTACTAAACTAAGTCTATGGCTTGCACAATGAACAAATATAGCTTTATGATTAAGAGCTTTTATTTGAGGAGCAAATCCTTTATACTCACCTGCCATACAACCTGCACTGTCATACCCTTGGCCTCTACAATTTTGAATATCAAGTCCAAACTCTTGAAGTGCATTAAGTACATTTAGAGATAGACTAAGACCAGATGTACCAGTCTTGCAATCAATAAATCTTAAGAAATCCTCGCAAATCTCATTATTTGAATTTACATATCTTAAAACAAGTGACATTTGTTCAGTATTTGAACAGTCAACTGCTTCATCACAAAGAATTGAAAAAAAAATTGAATGCTTGACATTTTTTATTAAAACTTCCTTAATTGCTTTCCCACAAGAATCAATAAGTTGGTTTTGGGTAGTTTTTGATATATAGGTTGCATTTTTTGGACTTGAAGAAAAATGATTAGCTAATACTTGATCACCAGCATCAACATGAAAATTTAAAAGCTCTATGAAGTTACCAACTCCAACTTTTTGTGTAGAAGATTCCCCAATGTCAGGATGATATTTGCTATCATCACGATGTCCACGAAATGCTAAATCGATTCTACCATGAAATATTATTGTTTTAATTATTGGAACTAATTTTTTTCGGTTATCAGAAAGAAGTTTCAAACGAGAATTATTTAAGTCAACCTCAATAACATTACTTTTGGAATTGCAACTTGAAAGCAATGCATTAAATGAAAGCATAAATTTTTTATGTAAAACACAATTTTCCTCATGTTTTCTATAATCACGAACAGCATTACCCCACTCTTGATGGGGCTTGAAAACTAAATTTAATATTCCAGACTTATTCGGAATACTAGCACCTAGCAAAGTACAAGGAAGACAGTAAGCTCCATCTTCTTTGCTAGAATAAGCTAACCAAGAAAACTGGCTGAGCCATTTAAATTTAAATGATCTTTTTGTATTAAAAGATATTGGAAAAACAAACATAGAATTAGGACAAAATACTTTGTTTACCATATCTAACAAAATAGAATCATCTTTGCCAGCAATTAAAAGTTTACCTCGAACAAGATATATTGAAACATCATACAAAGAATTTAATTCATTATATGAAGGAATAATAACTGAGTTGGAGTCTAATGACTTAACTATTTTTGAATCTACAGAAGGTTCAAAAGGCAACTCTATGAAAGCATTGTCTTTTTTAAAGTTAATTTTAGATTGAATTTTCACATTTTTTGCAGAATCAAGTTTTTTTTTTTTTTATTTGTTTCAGTTTTAGGACTAAAAAAGTGTAAAGGATAAGTAGCATCGTTTTTTATAGCCAAATTCTTATTATTACTAGAAATTAGTTTAGGCTTTTTAATAATCGGTACAAAATGGTTCGGTGTCCAGTTATTATTATTTTGCATCACTGACATAATATCAGTATTACACCATAAAATATTTAAAACACTTTGATCTTGATTTTTAATTGAACGAAATGGAAAAATAATTGTATTAAAAAGTTTTTTGAATTTTTCTAAGCCAACATCTGGATTAATTGATCTAATAGGAATATTTAAAACTGATGACAAAGCAATTAGACATAAAAATGAAGAAAACTTGTTAGCTCGGCAGTTGATCAATGCTTCCATTATTATAATTTCAGAAGCTGATTCACTGTTAATTAATTTAAATTGATCTGAACATTCAAAAGAAACACAGGCTACTAGAACACTGGAAAGATTAGAAAAATTATTGTTTTCAACCTGTTTAACAAAAATGGAGTACCTCGCATAGTAGGAAGCTTTTTCAAACAATTCAATCGAAGTTAGAAGCCTTAACACATTAACTGTCTTCAGAGACGAATTGCTTAAAAGAGAAGCTGAACTGTTGAGGCAATTTCCATCTTCAGATGACCTTAAATAAAATAAAAAGTGTACTAAAACAAGCTCAGTTTATATTAAATACTAGCTGGAAATATAAAATACCATTAACTTTAATAATAGGGTTTTACCTTAAAGCAACATAATCTTTAGTAACTTCTTGCTTTGGGATAAAACGATCCATTTCAGTATTTTCAGATACTGAATATGTGGCTGAACTGGACTCTAATTATTTAAAACTTTCAATTCTTCAGTCAACTGGTTTTTATATTTGCGAATATTTGGCAAATGTCTAGCCTTATTTGCATTTGAGACTAAAAAATTCATTTTTCTTTTAAACTTTAGTTTACAAGCAAAGTCCAACGACGAAAATTACGAGCGAAGAACCTTTATCTGGTGGCATATCAGAATTTTGTAAAATTTGAACGATTTGGAGCAACTGATGCAATTGTTCTAAACTTTCTACAAATTTGATTGGTTATAAATAACATTTCTTATCTTTTTTGTAAAGTTTTTTGCGGAAGTTTTGTAGCAACTGATGCAATTGTTATTTTATTAAATAGTGATTGGTTTAAACTGTTTTTTAACCAATCATTAATGATATAGAGTACAATTGCATCAGTTGCTACAAAGTGATCGGAAAAATTTGGGAAAAAGTACAAATATGATTGGTTAAAACGTCCTTTTTTTTTTTTAAACTAATCACATTTGTATTTAATGAAGAACAATTGCATCAGTTGCTCCAAAACGCAGGAAATTTGTATAAGTAACGAATAAGTAACTATAGAGATAAAATAAAATCGAGTTTAAATGAATTTTTTTCGAGTTTAAAACAAGTATTTTATTTTTTGTGAATGCCAGATTCCCATTTCTACTTTTACTTTTTATTTAGAAAAAAAAGTGAAAAAGAGATACACTTAAATTTAGGGTTGAAAAAAGACTGATGCATGCGCATCATTTGCGACACCCTGGACCCGCCCCTGTATATATATATATATATATTATATATATATATATATATATATATATATATATATATATATATATATATATATATATATATATATATATATATATATATATATACATTTTATTTGTTACTTAGGTGCCCCAAGAAGTCCTAACGGTCTGGTCACAGAGCACTGCGGAAGTGCATTTAACCGGAAAGTTCACAACTCCTTCCTTACCGTGATGTATATACATATACATTTTATTTGTTTTTTAGGTATACATTTTATTTGTTATTTAAGCGCTCTTACCACTGCGCCTAATGTATTTAAAACTTTAAATACATTAAGCTCAAATAAATTTATTAATCTCGTTTGAGTAAAAATAGGTTTTGTAAGTGTCTTTATTGGTGTCTAATAACATCTTTAGAAAGATGTTATTAAAGATGAAAGATGACATCAATGAAAATTCGGATGTTGGTGGACAGATTGGTGCGGCCGTGGTTTGAGCGCTTGCTTTATAAGCACGAGATCCAGGTTCGAAACGAGCTTTAGACATATTTCGCGTCACGGTTAGGAAGGAGGCGTGAACTTTCTGGTTAAATGCACTTCCGCGGTGCTCAGTGACAAGACCATTAGGATTTCTTGAGTCACCTAAAATAACGAATAAAATTAAAAAAATAAATAAAAGGTGTGGATTCGGTAAAGAAAAAAAGCGGATGATCTTGGACAAAAATGTACGGATGTTATTTCACTACTTCACGGATATTGTTGGACAGATGTAGTAAGCTTTTCCCGGCGTAAATAGTGTCTTCGCCAAGTAAAAAAAATAGGTCACAGATTTTGAAATTATTTTTTTACGTCAAATTACGGATATTCACACAGTATTAAGTAATAGGGTGGATCGATTTAAAAAAATTTTTGAAATTTGATTTACCTGAGCAGCGAATCAATGTCTTTTGGTGAAAAAAGAACCTTACTTTTTTTTTTTTAATTTAAATGGGTTTTAGTGGTTCCTCTTTGGATTCTAAATTTATGACGGATCCTAATATTGTTGAAATTTTTTTTCTTCTAAACTATATCAACCTGGTACTCAAAAGAAGCTGAATAATACGCTTATTTTGGATATAATATTTGTTTTAATTTAAAACTAAAGAGAAAAAAATAATGTCGTTTTTTTTATTAAAAAACCCCCGACTTCATCAAAACGGGGGTTTTAAGGTATATTTTTGCAAATATTTTTTCACTAAAATATTTTTTTTAATAAAATTATTATTGATAAAACAAGCATTTTTTCTGCTTTTTTTGAGTCCAAGCTTGATATAGTTTAGAAAAAAAAATTCAAAAATATTAGGATCCGTCAAGAATTTAGAATCCAAAGAGGAACCTCAAGATCTCATCAAAATCAAAAAATATTTTTTTACTTACATCTTATAAATAATAGACTTCGATTCGTGTCTCGGGAATATTATTTTTAAACTTTTTTTTTTTGCTATGAAAATCGATCCAACCTATTAAGTAAATATCCTACAGTAAAAAAATAATGTATAACGTACCCGGTGGGAAGTCCGCTAGCGAATAGCTAGCTATAATCGTTACGATAAAGACAGCGATTTGGCCACGAGGATCGCTAGCTTTTTTAAGTTAGCGAAAAGCTATCGATTTTTGTAAAGATAAAGACAGCGATTTGGCTACGAGGACAGCTAGCTTAACAAGCTTAACAAGGCTATTGTACCTAGCGTCATATCGTAATGAAACCGTTGTCTAAAAATTTTTGATATGTAGCTATCAACCAGGTATAGATTTGTAGATATTTTGTAGCTAGCTACAAAGCTACGATATGTAGCTAGCGACATATTGCTACAAATTCGCAATGTTTAAAGTTCAATTATTTTCATAGTTATAATTGACTCAACACTAAAAACCGAATTTTTAAAGATGTTAAAGACATATGCAAAAAATTAAATAAGAAAAAAAAATCGCTAGAAAATCATTTCCCACCGGGTAGCGTTTTCTTATATTTTTATGTAAGCACATACCATAGTCACAAAAGGTTTTTTATATATAATTTTAATATTCAAAAAAAATTTTAAATGATTTTTGATGTGTTTTTTTAATTACTGTGATCATCTTAAAATATTTATATTCTTTACAATTTGCGAACAATCATTTTAATTATTAAAAATTCACTTGAAATTTGCAGAAACGGTAAGAAATAGTTTTTTGTATTTGTGCATGGTACCTAATAGCCTTTATATATTGAAAGTCATATAAGCCTTCTAATTAAATACAACAGCAACTTAGAAATAACCTTAATTCAATCTTGCTTTAGTTGAATGTTTGTCATGAAAATTTACTTTAAACAACTGTTGCATCTGAACAAGTTTGTTAGCATTTGCATGCAAAGACCAAAAATTACTTATATCCCAACAATTTAATTAATATTTCAAATGACTTTACAATCTGACTACAGAAAGCTAATATAATGAGTTGTTCTTATTTAAACTAAATTTTTGATTAGTACAGATATGTTATAAATGTTTAATTATAATTTTGTTGTTTAAAATAGTTTTTAGTGTTAAATATGTGAAATATTTTACTTAATGTGTCTTAGATAAAACAAATGATAAATGAATGTACATAGTTGTCTATTGGCTATTGGGAAATTTTAACTTGTGAGTGTTCTCATGGCTTGGAATTTTAATTTTTATCTTTTCATTAAAAATAAATTACTATTAAAATTGTTATTTTGCTTGCTGGTTTTTACTATTGTCACAATTTTAATGGCCATGAAGTCCATATTTAAAAGCCCAATAAATCATTTTTGTTTATATCAATCATGCTCCAATGAAAATGTGACTGTAAATGAGAAACACAATTTTCGGACTATATCCTCTAGAAAAAAATATATGAAAAAGAATTTTGAAAATATTTACAAAAGAAACATAAGCAATATAAAAGATAAAAATAGTTTGTTAGCTGTTAAGAAATCTGTTGTAAACAGGCATAAAAAACACAGACTGAAAATGATTTCATTTAACGGCAGCAATAATTTGAAAAAAAAGGAGTTTCATAGTTTGACTAAAAATAATGAAATTAACTTGAAATTATCCACAAATTATCATTATGGATCACATACAACATTACCATGGCAACCATGGTATTTGCAACCAGATAAACTTGAAAACCTCAATAAAAATATTGTCTATGAAAATCTCAAAATACCAAAAGCAAAAAAACGTATTCCTGTTAATATAATTTTAATTGTCTCATCTGCACCTTCTCGAATTGATCGGAGATTTGCCATTCGTCGAACTTGGTGGACACAATGCAAATCTACTTCTAAGGTAAATTTTGTTTATAACTTTTTTTGAATATTTTATTATATTTTATTAAATATATATATTAAAAAAAAAACACTCCTTTCAAAATTATTGAAACCTTGAGAAAATGCTCAAGGGATTTGTATGAGATTAAAAAAAAATTTTAAATTATTTTTTCCTAAAGTGTTATTGAAATAACATTTGCAAAAAATAAAATTACTACGAATCACAGCTATCTAAAACTAAGGCCTATTACTTGAGTGCCGCGATTTTAAAACTAGTGGTCTATTTAGTTAACATTTTATTTTAGCTTATTTTTTATTTATCAAACTAGTTTAACAAATTTATTAATTTCTAACTTACAATATATAAATACTGAAAGTAGAACTGTTTTATATTTATTAAGCAGGAAGTAATATAAAAGATTTTGATAAAACATACTTTATTTAAAAAAGTTACATCTAAACATCAAAACATCTAAAAACAAAATAATTTTTTATCTAGTTATTCAATTTTGAAATTTTTTGACCTGACTCCTTTAAAACTGGCTCCTTTGAAGAATTGGAGTGTTTAGCTTTAAGTAATTATTTTAAAAATATTTGATGAGATTTTATAACTTTTCATACAAGACATATTAATTTTAAAAAATCCCAAAAAATAAAAATTGTCAATTGATTGAAAATAGTAAGATAGGGAATGTGAAAAAACTGGTAAAGTCAGGTCCAGTGCAATAAAAAGTACATAACAAAAGCAAGAAATTGAGATAAGCATTATACTCACTACAAAACAAATATATATCAGTGTCAAGATCTTGATATCCAGTCTTTAACTGAAGATAACCAGCAATGTATACAAAAGCTGTTTTAACAGCATCAGTTTAACTAGATTCTAATATGCTCAAAGAAAGCCTGAACCATGTTGTAGAAGTAGTTTTGATAGTTCAATTTTAGTTTTTCCAAGACTTGTTGAACTAAAACAAAATATGCCCAACCAGTACCCTGTCTCGACTTACTAAAAGTTTTTTCAATAGGATTGGATGTAAAGTCATCAAGCTTTACAAATTTGTGTGATGTGCTTAACAATTATTTTGCTAACTTAACTTACCCTTTTAATGTATCGGCTTTTGCTTTAGATGTTTCAAGAGTCAGTGTTTTATTTCTTTTGTTTCCATTATGCAATTCATACCTTCAGATATTTTTGATAAAGAAAGTAGTTGTTGCAGGCAAAGGTTGTCTGGTAATTTAATGACAGTGCGTAATGCGTCTCTTAACCTTTTATCATCACCAAGTTTGTGAACATTATTAATTTTCCAGGCGTCAATAAACTTTTTTTAAAATAAAGCAGATCCTTTAACATTGATTTGGTCTATACTAGGACGTGTTGATAATGCAGAAAGAGTATTTTCACAAAAAACTCTCAAACACAAAGAAAGGTTTTGTCGCTTAACAGGCTTTGGAAAAATTGAAGCTTTATTTAAATGTGAAAGAGTCAAAAGTTTATTACACCCTAAACAATAAAGTTTCTTAAGGCCATCATACTTTGCAACTAAATTATCATGATTGTCCTTAAACTGCATTTCTTGAGTTTTTTCAGTAATCCAATTACTTCTTATGTTTTTCCACATATGAACATAATCATAAAGTAAAAAAATGTTATCTTTTGTCAACCATGGTTTTCCTGCAACAGTTTTATAGAGAGAAAAGTTTAACATTGACTTTAATATTGTCACATTAAATTGGAACACAGCTTCCATTTGCATTTGAAATTGATCTAAGTGTAGAATTAACTACTTTATATTGAATATCTGATTCAAGGCAACATCAGAATGATGCAAACTATAAAACTGGGTCTACCATAAAGACATTTCTGATTTGTTTATAAAGTGTTCTTGAAATATCAGGAAATATTCGAAAGCACAAACAGCAGTGTCTGAAGAATACAATGTATCACCAATACTTGAGATTTTCATAGAAGTTAAACTTTCTATAAACTTGTTTTTTCCTTGATAATTTGTCATTATTTAAATACCTTATAGCTTAAAACAAATTTGACCTTTTGCTTAAAATAAATACATGGTTTTTTGACAAACTTGTTACATAACATAAGCATCCACAACAATACACCTCATATTTTAAATTAGAAGAAAGATTTTTTTTAAATTATTTTTCTAAAGAAAAAAAGTATTTTTTAAGAATTTTATAAGATGATAATTTTAACAAAATTAACATTACCTTGGTAGATCACAGTAAAATTCAGTTGGTTGAAAACTAGTTTTTTCATCACATTTATATACAACTATTAATTTTAGTAAATCTTTTTTTTTTTTTTGGTTAAATACTAACCACGTTATAATTCATTTTGGCCATGGTTGTAAATGATTTAAGTTAATCAGTTTGCACATTTCTTACACTGGAAGTTGCTGAAGCTGTAGTCCTTGACAGTTTCAACAATTTAAAAATTTTATTCTAATCCATATTAATAGAAATTTTAAGTTGTGCTTTTTTTTTTTTTTTTTTTTTTTTTTTTTTTTTTTTTTTTTTTTTTTTTTTTTGCAAATTTAATAAAGCAAATTAACATTTAGGGTGTTTAAGGGTTGACAAAATATGCTACACAGTTGGGAATTTAATTTTAAATTTTTCAAAATTCGCAAACAAAAAAATAAAAATCATTTAAGCAAAGCTGATAGTCAGTGAATATTTCCAGTTAAGTAACCACAAAAAGCTTTAACAATAAGCAGTAGGATATATACAAAGATGAGCATTAGTTATTTTTCGTTTCATTTATTTCAGATGTTCTTTTTTTAAGCAATTATGCAATTATCAGTATCGAATGTAGATTAAATAAAAAATTTGAAGTGATTAGTGATGCGTTCAAATCAAGCTGGTAACCTAAATAAATTTCATTTTATCATTTCACATAGTTTTATACATAATGTTTTTGTTTTTTTTATTCTGAAACTCCCAACAAGGCTGCAAGCAACCACTATTTAGTTGGGAGTTACTAGAAAAAAAAAGATTTATAGAGCAAAGAAACAGTTGACAGTAAACTTGAAAAGTTTTAGATTGTATGAGTCAGGAAAACACGAAGATAGGAGAGAATTCCAAAAGGTTGATCTGCGGCAGGGTTTGTGATAAAGAAAATTGTCAAGCGTGTTATATCGCTCGTAAAATTAGAATATGTTTTAATCGAGCGTGATTATGTGCGCTCAAGATAACTTCAGCAAGCGCTATCATAAAAATTGCTTGACGATGCTCATAAAAACCTTTTTATTTTTTATATCTTTTTTTATTTGTTACATCATTCTTTCGTCAACAAATGTTTGAATTAGTATCATGCTTATGAAACTACTTCAACGAAGTAGATTTTTATACTTCCAAACTTCTTGCATATTGTTTGCGTCAGAATGCGATTTTTTTTTTAACTTTTTATGGTAAAAAAATAATAATATCAAACAAAAAGACAACTTATTGTTTAGTATTGAAGTATAATTTTACGTTGTTTGATATGTGCATTTGAAAATTTTATGCTGTCAACTTAATTAAGGGTTAATGGTTTTTATATTTCTTTTTATTTTTTATTCAAATTAATTAATTCTTTTTTTTCTAAAATTTCTTATTTAAATTACTTTTTTTTCTTTTTTATTTAAATTACTTTTTTTCTTAAAAATATAACACAAGAATAATTTGAAAATCTTCTTTTTTAAAAACTATTTGTTATAAGTTAAATAACAGATTTTCCCCTCAACTGATGTCAATGGTGTTTCCTATTCTACATTTTCAAAATTGAATGCAGCTAATTTGTCAGTCATGTCTTCATCAGCACTGTCTATTTCATCATCGTTATCAAGAACTTGATTTGTAATCAATGTTGTTGTTGTCATATAGTCAACTGGATCATCATCAACTTGAACCACTCATCTCTTTTTCAAATAAATTTCTTTTTCTCGCTTTTTAATCAGGATTTTTTTTTTTTTTCTTGACCAGCTTCCATGGTTTCCTAATATCATAATGCTATCATTCAGAGTGTCGTGATTCATAGATAAACGTTGATCTGATAATATGCTAGTTACTGTGCTAAGCATTCGCTCCACGCTTAATCGATATAACTTTTAATAAATTAGGAAACTTTGACTTTTTGTACAAGAACATTTTTTTTTTTTTTTAATTTTAATTCACCTCCTCAAGGCCGAGAAGGCCACTACAGACGAGGAGGCTACTTATTTGTGGCTATAACCCTCTCTCAACTCTATAACTCCAAACACGAACCTTGACGAACAAGGCCGCTGCGCGGAGAAACGAGTTGAGCGCGGTACTACCAGGGACGTGGTGGGGATCGAACTTGGAACCACTCGTTTATGAAGCGAGCGCTCTACCACTACACCACTACCGCACATTGACCTCCAAATTTCTTTTGTCTGGCAATTGCGTACCATTGCTTCAAGATTGGTTCTTGAATTAATCAAAAATAATTTCCATTCTTGGAAAACTAATTTTTCATTAAAATTGGAATGTTCCAATGGTGTTTTAAAATGCGTGGACAAAAACTTTATTTCTTCCAAGCCAAACTCTTTGTCGTCAGTCCTGTTCTGCGGGTCGATGAGCCGCATGTCGTGATAAATCTCATACTTTTCCTTTATGCTTGTAAATCTGCTGTTTAACGTATTTTCAAGTCTGGGTATAACCTTTCTCTTAATATTTCTGACTAAGCATAATGCTTGATCTACGTTAACCATAATCATATTTAAGTTAACTATTATATACTTTTTATTACTGGGATGTTTTTGTTTGTTGCCAGTTTATTAAACTGACCAGACAGTGCTTTAGGTAAGTTATGTTTTCGCTCAATAACCATGTAACGTGATACATAGCTATCTAAATATTTTAAATCTGCATCGATTTCTTCGAGCTTCAATTCCAGTTCTAAATTTGTTCGGTTGATTGTAGCTAGAATATCATGTGGCAACAGTTCGTTTGCTTCAAACACTTTTGATGCTGGCACAATGAGCTCTAGCAAATCATGATAAA